GACATTTTGCATGAGGAAAATTCCCTTGGCTAACAAAGAATGCCCGTTAAAGGTACCAGTGTCTTGGTTCTCACAGTAATTGAGTATTGGTCTTTTCCATGAAGGCAGGAGGGTGCAGATAGATGAGTGACCGCTGACCAGCCGCCCTTGCTCTCCCAGATTTGTCTTGTGGCCTTCATGGCATCAACAAAGCCCTCAGTTGTGGAAAGGGAGACAAAGGAACAAGGATGGTAGATGGCATCCCAGGACGATGGGGTGATAAATTGCTGATCTTGACAATGTAAGAGGACAGTGCCCCAGGAGCACTGGGTGTCTGGAAAGTAGCAAAGAAAAGGAACTCGACTCTTTCTCCCAGTGAGATGCATTTTCACACTTTTCATATCCAGTAAGTGTGTAACAGCGACTTTGCACTGTGTGAGTGACTAGCCTTTGGTAAGTTCTTATAGTCAAAACAGGAGATGGGTATTGCTGGCAACAGTTCAGAGGGGTTCATTGTCACATTTGGTTAACAAGACGGCACTGGTTGTGTCGAAATCACTCTCTCTCTGAGAGGATTGCTCGTGTAGCTCTAGCTCACCTTGAATTTATAATCTTGCTTTACCCTCCTGCCTGCTGGGATTACTTATGTATACCATCATGCCTCAGAAAAATATTATTCTTTCTAGTCTCTCTAAACAAATCTTTTTTACAACAGACTGGTGTAACAACATACGTTTAAGATATTGGCTATTTTCAGGGTTTTAACACATTGTTTTGTTGTTAAAGGCTAATTATAAATCAAAGTAATAAATTTGTCAATTTAATTTATATGAATTTTCATGTCAGGCTAAGAACATGGTTTAATCCTTAAAGCATGGACCTGAATTCAATCATCAGAATTCCTGTAAACAGGCATGTACAGTGGTGTGTGTACCAGTGGCGAGGCAGGCGGGAGGCTTCCTAGGGTCTCCTAGCCCGCTAGTCATTGCACCAAAGCAATGAGCTGCAGGACACACCCTGTCTCAAAATATAAGGTGGAGAGTGATAAAGATACCAGACTGTGACCTCTGCTCTCTGCATGTACACACACACACACACACACACACACACACACACCAATCGCACCTGCACATATGTGCCCACACACATTAACATGAACACACACACGTATTACACACACAATAGTTTTCCTGCCTTTGTGCTTAGAGATTGGTGGAAGCACATTTCTATGTATATTTCAGAGTTAATTTTTTTCTGGATTATACTTAGCAGCCTCCAGTCGCCGCTGTAGCAAGACCCGGAAAGAGGTGTTCACGCTTATTTGATAAACATCAGAGGAAAAGGCTCCCAAAGCTCATGTGGGCAGTGACTTAAGCTAATGCTTGTTTCTTCACCTGTAAAATGCGATGATTGTGCCTTTCGTTATGGGCTGAATTTGAGTTTCTCACAATTCACGTTGACGTTCCAATCTCAGATGTGAATGATGGTGTTTAAAAGTGGGCTGTGGGGACTAACTAAATCACGGGTAATTGTTGCCTTCATGCAACCTGGAAGATGTTGCCTTTGTCAATTCCCTGCAATTCGAGGCCACATTGAACCAACAGCCCCTCCCCTGGATCTCCGTAGTACAGGAGCTAGACCTCGTATTTTCAGTGCCCAAAGCTCTGGAGGAATGAGAAATACATGTCTGTCTGTCCTTTAAGCCTCTTTGGTTGTGGCTTCCTGTGGCGGCAGCCCAAGAGTATTACAAACTGGTGTAGACAATAAGGTGCGGTTGGAACACGTGCCTGGGGGTATGGGCTGCATTGCAGGCTGGGTTGAGAGAATTCTGAGGGGCTAGGCGTGTGCATTCATTGTGTCCCCAGTGTTGTTACCGAACATTTGGCAAAAGCATGAGGAAGGCAAGGGTTATCTTGGTTCACAGTTTAAGAGTGAAGTCTGTCATGGCGGGTAGTGGATAACATGCTTTCACAGTCTGGAAGCAGAGAGAAAAATGCTGGTTCTCAGCTTGCTTCATGCTTTGACCTGATCCCATGGAATGGTGCCATTCAGAGTTAGGACAGGCTTTCCCACATTAATTAGCACTCTCTAGAAACTCTCCTCCAGACAAGCCCTTGAGGTTTGTTTCCATGGTGATTCTAGGTTCCTCCAGGTTGACTTCAGAAAGAAGGCACACAAAGGAAAAGTGAAGGTTGGATTGAAGGTGCATGGAAGCAGGTGGAGAGAAGGTTTTCATCTTGCTAGCGAGCATGTTCTCAGATACAGAGTCCAATGTTACAAAGGGTTAAAGCCCTCCACACAGGAATGAGGAAACAATTAGAAACTGGAGGGAAAGCACCCTTTGTTGTTAATTGGCAGACCTCATGGCCGATCTGCATTTCTACGCAAGTGTTTGTGGAAGCAGGACTGAGGCAGAGGCAGTCAGGTTGTCTGCTCCTGGGCCAGGGCTGGTTGGTGTTGGTGGAGGTGGACCAAGGGGAAGCTGGACTCCTAGGAGTTATCTATCCTAGCCCCTCCCAAAGGGTGACGTGTGTGTGTGTGTATGAGGTGGGTTGTGGTGAAGGTGTGTGTGGGGCTGTGGTGAAAGGGTGAAGGTGTGTGTGGGGCTGTGGTGAAAGGGTGATAGGGTGATGGTGTGTGTGGGGAGTGGTTGTGGTGAAAGGATGGCGGTGTGTGTGTGGGGTGGGCTGTGGTGAAAGGGTGAAGGTGTGTGTGGGGTTGTGGTGAAAGGGTGATAGGGTGATGGTGTGTGTGTGGGGGGTGGGCTGTGGTGAAAGGGTGACGGTGTGGGGGTGGGGTGGGCTGTGGTGAAAGGGTGATGGTGTGTGTGGGGGGAGGGGAGTGGGCTGTGGTGAAAGGGTGGCGGTGTTTGTGTGGGAGTGGGTTGTGGTGAAAGGGTGACGGGGTGTGTGTGTGTGTGTGTGTGTGTGTGTGTGTGCACGCACACGCGTGTGCGTGTGCTCCTCTTTGGTAGCTTGCACTCTTGAGTACAGTGTCTGTGGCATCTCTGCACCTACCCTTACAGAATGATCTAAAAATACCAGGAATCTTAATCGAGGTTGGTGACTAATGATGCTTACTACGCCTTTCCTTTGCTTGAGAATTTTATGGGACAGACTCGCTGTTTGGGGCCAGATGGAGGAACTGTTAGGAATTGCTGAGTTTTGCTTCTATAGATCCCGGTTTGTATATCCTGCCTGGTGGGTGGTGAGGGTTCCGGGATGTGTGCTGAAAAGCCACAGCTGGGAAAGCAGGGCTCAGTTACTGAAGGGAGAGGGTGTGCGGGAAGCAGGGACAGGAACCGGTACAGCAGAAGCAGGTTTGTCCCCTCTCAGGTGCTCTCCTGGTACCTGAGGCTGGAGAGTGTACCTTCCCCACCAGAAACCAGGGATTGTCCATCCTATAAATAATCAAGGCAGCTAGACCAGTCTAGACAGTGATTGGTCAGCTCTGTGTGGCTGACAACGCCCTTTAGTGTGATCCATATGGGATCAGGGATGGAGAGTGAGTGAGGGAAATCACAGGTCAGCCATAGAGTTTCTCAGGAAGGTGAGTTTAACGACTGAAGCATATGTAGGGGAGAAAGGATTCCAGCCACCAGACCCGCGTCAGGTAACCTTATCTGGCCCAAAACAGAAAACAAAGTTAGAAAACTGGTAGTCAGTCCAGACCAAACGGAGCTCTGCTAACCCATTCTGTGGTCTGATCAGTCAAGCTCCTATAATTGTGCTTCTATTGTTATCTATAAAGTTCGGGACGGACACACACACACACACACACACACACACACACACACACGTACAGGCATACGTGCACTCGTGTGTGCACACACATTTATAATTTTGTGTTGACTCACATGTGGCTAGAAAAGAAGGCTCATTAGAATCAACGGGAGGCTATGGGCCCATACCAAACACACGTAAAGAGAGCAAAAGGATCCAGAGAGACCACAGTCTCAGCTGTCTACACTGGGACCTTTTTCCTAGAAAAGGAGACTTGATAATAAGAACGAGGCTGACTTTAAGTATGTATTGAAAACTGACCATAGCACTAGATGTACATCATTTAACTTCTTACAATGTATCATTATCAACTAGTTTATCAATGTAAGGTTCCAGCTTAAACACAGACCTATTCATTGTCAAACAAAGCAATTCCTAATGTTGGGTGAGCCTGGAGAGTGTGATGGGTCTGCCAAGTTATCACAACTGTTGGTGGGACACGTGGAAGGAGTTATTTTACAAATAAAGTCCCAACCAGGGACTTCAAATCAGAAGAAAAAGAAAACAGATGAATATAAAAGTTTTCAGCTTGTTGTCTTTCAGTCTCAGTGGTGCTGGTAGGGGAGGCAGCATGCACGCGCGCACACACACACACACACACACACACGTACCACACACACACCTGCAGTCTCAGGGAACTAGGGGTGGGGTATCCTGCACACACTCCCCCAGCACGCACACGCACGCACACACACACACACACGTACCACACACACACACGCAGTCTCAGGGAACTAGGGGTGGGATAACCTGCACACACTCCCCCAGCACACACGCACACACACACACACACACACACACACACACGCAAACACCCCTCCAGCCTCAGTGAACTGGGAGTGGTATATCTTACACATGTATTCCTCCATCTTGTGGGACTAGGGATATATGTATATATATATATATATACATATATATATATATATATATATATCCTGCATACTTCTCTTCTGTAAGGAACTGAGAAAACAGAGGAGGATTATAATTGGGTGGTACCAAAGTTGACTGGGCATTGCTCTTAGGATATAAACATTTTAAAAGTTACAGACCCTGGATTAAAGGAAGAACTATTTTGTTCACGATAGTGTGGCTGAAGCCACCGCCCTTCCAATATTATAACCTCACTTCATTTAATGAGGGTTTCAACACTCCTAGCTCTTCCAAAAGTATTGATTTTTATTTTTTTAAAGCTTGGATCTGCAAGACAGACAAAAGACTGTATATGATATTCCTGTAATGACTTACCTTAAGAATCCGTGAACTGTGCAGTCGTGATTGTTAGGCCTGAGAGACACCTGCTCACCTTTTGGAAATGAAGAGCTGAAAAGAGATTCTGAGATTCAGAAAGGGTAAGGGATACAAGGCTGACCTTTCAGAGACAGGAAACCTTTGATGAACTGTAGGACACCAAGACAGTTCATTTAAAAGATGTCTTCAAAGCAGCATCGAGGCTGGTTTTGTGTGTGCCTCCATGCGACTCTTGGCTTGTCTTTCTACGTAAGCCCAGGGAAATAATGGTTTCTGTGGTTGTTCACGTCTGCCGCCTTCATGTGGCACCTTAGTTTCTTGGCTTTGTTACGGCTTCTCCGTCTCTTTTGTGGACAAAATTAAACTTTCCTGACCATTTGGCAGCATGGAACTTTCCTGCAATGGACTGTTAAGGAGAAAAGAGACAGGAAAAGGCCACTAATTTAATCTTCACATAATTAAGGTCTTGCAAACAGCTGAATAAAATCGCGGCTAACATTCTCTCCTGACTATAAGATGAGACTCTACTGTAGTCTCAGAAAAAGTTACAATTCAGCTGTTGCATCCGAGTGCAAATCTTTGTTGTATTGTATGAATTTTTTAGGACTGGGCAATGGTGAGACTTGCTTGCTGTGTATATACATATGTAAATGTCTGCATGTACATATGTGTATGTATGTGCCTAATAACTAGATTAAAGGAGCAGTTCCCTAGAGGAGGAGTGAATTGAGGGTGGGACCTGGGAGGGGGTGTAGAGGGGACAGGGACTGGCCTGTAACTAAAACACCTGCGTCTCAAGTGGAGCACTGGGATTTCAGATGTGTGTCACTATATCTGGTTCTCTTTAATCTTTAAAATAAAACGTCCTAAAAATCTAAGATAATCTATACACTAAAGTTTTTATAATAGAGATGAATGAAATTGTCTAGATAAATATGAGTAAATCAACAAATCAAAAATGATAAGCTAAAAGTTAGGATTTACATCAATAAAAATAATGGAATAAGGAAATAATGTCTTAATTTTCTCAGCAAATCACTGCATGGGATCCCAACAGACAGCATCAAGCAGGGTGTTGAGAGGCTTTCTGAGGAGACACTTGTGTGTCAACAGTCGACTGCTCCCTGAGGCCAGCTGGAGGCTGGCCGTTCACTGTGTGCCCTGCTGGCCCGAGAGAGGCATGGGGTGTGTGGTATCTGTGTTTAGGGTGCACAGAAGAGGCCGAGGCATGCTGGAGAGGTTGTTGCTTTGCTGTCTCACTCCACTGCTACGTTCTCTTGGAGGTGGTTTCATCTCCTAAGACTGGAGGCACACTTCTGTCTTTGGGCTTTCACCAACATTTACTTGCTCACCCCTGTCGTTTACTATTTCTTATCATAAGGCCTGAAACGAAAAGGCTCCCGGTTGGCAGGTTAACTGGTCTACAAATGCATGGCTGGCTTGGCAGTGCCACCAAGAGCGGCCCTGGCTACCAAGCAGCCCTCGTAAGACAACAATGGCTTCTCTTCTCTGTTTCAGATTACTTGCCACCTATAATAGCCTCACAGACAAACACCTGGCTGGGTATTTCAGCAACACCAGGATCAGGCGGCACCTCCTAAGATCCGGGCTGGTAAGGCTGTTTTGAGTTCTGCCCACTTTCTTGTTCAATTAAATCTGAAATCTTCCTACCTTTCTTCAGATTTCCTGTAAGTCGGTGACATAGTTTTCTCTATACTAATTTAGAAAAATTATTTCCTTTTAAACTTCTGATTTATTTATTTGGGGGCTCTTTCTAAAGAAGAGGAGAGAAGTTACAATGGCTACTAAGGAAACATAAATTATGGAAGGAAAATCCCTGTGAGATTTCAACGGCATAGTTGATTTGCTTATGTATTCATTTATTCAGTGCACATTCTGTGAACCAGACACTGTTAAAGAGCAAGGGCAGAGAAGACCTTATTGTTTCCAGAAAAATATTGTCTTTAATACCCTCAGAATATGGTGTGGCAAACACGCACAGCTCACTTCCTCTTGTGTGTATGTGTGCATTTTTATTTTCATTTCCCTGTGATGGTTTATTGATACCCTAGTACCTTCCATCATCTTCAAAGCCACTCTTCCCACGCAATTTCCGTTTCTTTAAAAGTGTATAAGGGGGAAAAAATCTACCTCAAAAAAAACACAAAAACTCAAAACCCTATGGTTTTCCTTTGAAAGAAAAGGGGTGTGGTTCTCAGAGTGTTGGCTGTGTGCTTTCTTAAAGCACAGTGTTGCCAGCGGGGCTCAAAGAACCGCATTGTGTTTCTAATTGTTGTTTGTGTGCTTGGCACCAGCTGGGTGGAGCTGGAGTAAGAAAGTCCTTCTCAGCCTCCTGGGGCATTATTATCAGAAGGGTCAGCTGAAACCTGGCTCCGCCAGGAAGAAGACAGCCGCTCACACCCCTTGCAGTCCAGCTTCCTCAACTGTGAAGTGAAGACAATGATACCCTGCCTGTGGCATGGCTATTACTGTTAGGAACCTGGAATGGGAGACCCTGTAATTACTGGGTGACTAGGAACACTTCTAAGCAGGATGCTAGTTGGGCAGGACTTTGTGTTTACTTAACACCATCCCTAAACGCTCAGCTTGTTAAAAGCCTGGTAACTCAAATAAGGAAGGCAAGGACTTAACAGAGCCAGCAGCAGCCCTGCAGCCTTCAGGCTCACATCACACAGAAATGCCTCAGAAAAATGCAAGTCTGAAGCTTGCAGCACCCGACCTGTAGGATTTGTCGTTTCTCAACCCCTCTAGGGGATTCATATCCACCTCACTCAAGTTTAAGCACTGTGGCTCTATAGGAGCTTCCTGTCCAACTGGGGAGAGCAGACGTAATCCCAGAGAAGCGACAACAGGGACATCTGCCAGCTGCCACAGGGATGGGGAGAGCACTCAGGATGGTCTAATGTTAGGCCCTTCCCAGGGACAGGAAATCCTATAGCTAGCGCATTCTAGACACTGTAAGTGGGCTATCTGCACTAATATGTTGCAGCAATAATATAAAAATTATAGCTAGAAAATCAGGACTATGAATGTGGGGACTGGAGCGACGGCTGCACGGTGAAGAACATGTACCTGAGTTCTGTTCCCAGCACCCACACCGAGCGGCTCACAAAGGCCTGCAGCTTCAGCTCCAGGGCACTGAACACCCGTGGCCTCTGCGGGTACCCATACTCACACGCACCTAGGCGCACACAGACACATACACAAACAGCAGGACGGAGAGCAAGCAGCCTTCTTTACCAAAGAGATCAGAGGACCACAGCAAATAAAGGAAGGAGTCAAAGTAAGCAAGGGGTGAGGGCGAAATCGCTACTCCAGGGACACACAGCGATCCTCGCTGTGGCCCATATAGAAAACAGTCTATCCACACTCCTCCATAAACCATAAAGTTCTAAATCACAGCAATTAAACCATATTCTGGCCTGAAAAGTGCAGGAAGAAAAAGCAGGGAGCAAGCAGAGTAATGAAACCAATTATTTCTCAAGACAAACCGAAGGCTTTCTCTACCGCTTGCCTGCCTTTCCCCTGCTGGTGTTTCCCGGTGAACCGCAGCCAGCGCCACTCCTGTGCGTGCCTCAAGCAGCACCTCCCCTTCCCGAGGCTGGGGCTTTCACGAGAATGAAAAGAACACCTGGGTTCCATCACTGGGAAATTGTTACTCTAATGAAAACCTTGTTTTAAACGTCAAGTGTACCACCTGCGTGTGTTTTCACACTGACAGGTACCGGAGACTTCCTTTCTCCTTTCTGCTGAAAGGAGAGGAAGAGATGAAATAGTCATTAAAAGACAGACATTCCCAAGGGACAACGGGAGTCTCTTTTAGGCTTTGAAAAGGCCACTTTCTTCTCTCTCTCTCTCTCTCTCTTTCTCTCTCATCTATCTATCTTCTCTCCTCTATCTGTCTGTCTATCTATCTATCTATCTATCTATCTACCTACCTATACAACCATTCTCTATCCATCATTCTCTATCTGTCTGTCTGTCATCTACTATCATCTATCTATCTATCTATCTATCTATCTATCTATCTATCTATCTATCTATCTATCAATCAATCATCTATCTATCTGTCTATCTGTCTATCTTCTATCATCTATCATCTATCTATCTCCCCTCCCTCTCATTCTTCTCTCTCTCCTCTGTCTTTTTTTGGTACTTAACAACACATTTTCCTATTTTGTATTTCCGTATGTATTTTATTTACCCATTCATAATTTTCCTTTATTTGCCACAGATCACGAGAAGTGGGAGGATACTTTCTGAAAAGGAGCAGAAAGCAAACACCATGAAGCGGGATCATCAGAAACACATCCGGGAGTGCTTAGCCCAAGCCATCTTCCACAAGGTCCTCGACATGGAGGTGGGGGCATTTCTCACCCTCTTTATGATGGACTGGCCACTCTTCAATAATAAGTAGTGATTGGAGAATTCTTCCTAGACTTCATGGAAAAGGAAATGGGCCAAAAAGAATTGGAAAATTCTGGTTGGCTTCCCAAGTAGCCAGGAGCCTGGAGACCCAAGTTTTCCTCCTTTTTAGTGTAGAAGAAATATGGACATGATTACAAAGTCTGTGATATTTAATTTTCTAAATGTAGATTCTTTTAATTCACAATGGCTACCCAGCCCTCACCATCTGTACCTTAATTTCCATTCGCTAAAAAAAGTGACATCTGTTTAAATATCAGTAATTCCACTGCCATGAATTATCTAGGATCTGTTATTCTTTTAAGGCTCCATAGCTCGGCCGTCTGTTAAGTTTCACAGAATAGGCACTGAAACATCTGCTGTCCCTCCTACTTTTGGACACATTGGTCAGCACGATTTACAGCCCAAGCATCAACACGTTTTGAGGAATCTGACATTGCACTTTTAGTGGGATATGCAGCTAACCTGAGAAATTTTTGCAGCCTTGCTCCACAAAACTGTCCTTTCAATTGTCAAGCGCCGTTTTAGTCCCCGAGAGAGGGTGCACTCTGGGCTCCACCGTACAGAAGTAAATCGAAGTTGGAAAGCTCCACACCTGCAGGTCCAGTAACATTTATGAACAAAGGTAGAACTAAACCCGCAACAAGTTTAGCACCAGTGAAAATACTTATTATTGTACTGATATCATCACATCACTGTTCACTGAAGATGTTTATTGCACGCATACAGTTTCTGCTGACTTAGGAATTCATTTTTCTTTTACCTCAGCTCATGTCTATGAATTACAAAAACACATTGTTGAGAGTTTCAAATTTTCTGATTTACAAAAGCACCAGTGGGAACGGTACAATCCTGCTTTAAAAAAAAATAGTATGGCATTAAATTAAGCCCAACCTAGTGTCTAACTTTGGGAGTGCTGCGTTCAGTGTTGGATCAAGTCCTTAGAGTTTGGAGGCAGGACACAGCATAACTGTGCATATATTGTCCGTTATGTCTCATGTATTAACAACATATAATCATGTTTAAGAGAATGTGTAATTATAATATGGAGTTTCACTTTCTCCAATTGAAACATGGGGCTGGGAAGACAGTTCAAAGGGTGGGAACATTTACCATACAAGCTGAAGGACCAGAATTTAAATCCTCAGCACCTTTGTAAAAAACCTTGTGTGGTCACACTCATGCCAATAACCCATCCCAGAGAAGGGAAGACTGCTGTATCTTGCTGACTGCCAGTCTAGTACTGGATTGGATGAGAGACCCTGTCCACAGGGACTGGCATGGCAGATGGTAGAGCAGGTCGCCAGTGTCTTCCTCTGGTCTCTGAATGCCCTAAGGCATTCAGTCCGTTCACTATGTGTTGCACACACAGAAACCCGCATGCAGGTGAAACAAAAAGAACTAGAAGTTGTTCCAAACTTGTAAATATTGTAAGCATGCTGCTTACACTTGAAAGTTTCAGCGTTCAGCGGACACTGCATGTTCACAGTAGGGATGCTTCATCAGTAAACTCAGCAGATATCTGTATATCTGAAAAACAGTGAAATCAATTTAGTTTCTAACCATGTTTCAGAAGACGCACCTAAATGGTTAATATGCTAGAGCAACCAGTAGTGCCTCCACGTGGCCACACTGCTTCCCATTAACTGGTGCTGCTCCAGTTTTTCCTGAGCTTGTTGTAGGTGTTCATGCATTCACCCGTGCAACCTGCAGTAGCAGACTCTCTGTGTGCCAAGTTGGGACCCTCTCTGGTGGCTGCAAGACACTGTTTATTGAAATACTATACAAGAATTGCACAGAAGTGGGAAGTAGCAAAGTGAATCCTGCAAAGGAGGGGGTGACCTGTGGGCACCAGAGCAGGGTGCATGGAGGCCCTGCCGCTATGAAACACAGCTTGAAGAGCCAAGTTAGGTACAGGAGAGGAATTCCAGAGAGGGAGGACAGTCATATGCAGGATACCTCAGATGGAAAGGAAGCCCAAAGACAGCTCAGGGGGCGGTTCAGCAGGTGGTGACATTATCTGATAAGTTGCTTCTTTGTTTCTGGAAAGTCTGGAGTTCTCAAGGCAGGCTGCAGAGCAGGCGATGAGGCAGTGAGATGTTTTTTTCAGCAGGGGAGTGAAATGAATGGGCAGAGCTGTTTGAGAGGTTGCTGCTGGAGATGTGGAGGATGGATTAATGGGCTGGAAAAGATTGGAGGTGGGAGGTCAATTAGGAATCTGTTGCCAAAGGGTGCAGCTAACAGCCGCAGAGAGTGTGGGACAGGCAGCTGTCGACAGAGACAGCAGAGAAGAAGAAAGTGGCAAAGAGAAGCCACCCTGTCGGAAGCAGGGGAGATGGGAAGAACTTTGGGGCCTGAAGGAGGAGCCCCAGGGAGGAAGGAGCAGGGATGCGGGACCAGAAGCTGATCACATGTTACAGACAGGCCCGCTAGAATGCTGCCCTGGAGCCCAGGGGCTCACTAGCTCACAAGCAGCAGGATGTCTCCAGTGGTGATAGATCCAGGAAATAAAGGCGCTGGAGACTTGGGGAGGGAGTGTCAGCCATGGGGAAGAGGAGCCTGGCATCTGACTGGAGAGTTGGGGACCAGTGGATTTGGGGAATAGGTTGATGGCAAATGTAAGAAAGTTTGTTGTTGAGTGGGTGTAAGACCCGAGCAGGAGGGAGAGGGACAAGAAGTGCCAACGGATAATCCATGACAACCAGGAGACCAACTCCAGAGAAAAGGGTTTCCCTGAAGGAACAATAAAACCACAGCAGCAAAGCCATACAGACTGATTTCAAGTCTGATTGGAAGAAGACGATTTCAACAGAAGGTGTATTTCTAAATCACCAACTCTTACACTAAAATAATTGGAAAACACAGAGGAAAAAAATCATAATACAAAATAATTGCATAAATTTTCTACTTTCAAAGGTGACCATTATTAATGAACATTTCTTTTTAGAATCTTCTAGTCATATTTATACAACAATAAGATCATGATATGGCCAAGGGAGGTAGCAGATGTGCAGAATGTCAGCTCTCAGGATGCCTTATCAGCAGAGTGCCACAATTTTGAAGCCAATGTGGGCAATGTAGCACGTTCCAGGTCATCCCAAGCTAGGTTCCAAGACCCTCTCTCAACAAACAAACAAACAAACTCCAAAAAACCACAGTGGGGTTTCAGCTGTGACTCAGCCCTTAGGAGCAGGGCTGCCTCTTCAGGAGTTCAGTTCCCAGCACCCCTTCCAGGCAGCCCAGGACTGCCTCTTAACTCCAGCTCCAAGAGTAGCCCTGTCCCCACATGTCCACAGACACAAAAATACAAATGAAATCATCTCTTTTACAACAAGAAAGCACATCATGATACATTGTGACGGGGACATGGGCTTGTGGCAATAGGGGGAAACAGGAGGCGAGACCAGAGTACAAAGCCCTCAATCTGCCTCAGTGTCTCTGCTCGTGAACTTCCACTCCTGGGACCTAGTGGCACAAAGGAAGCGCTTCCTCACGGCAGGGGTTCTCTGGAAAGACTGGCTCTGCCCCTTACTGGATTTCTATGCGGTTCTGCATCCTGCTTCCTCCCGTGTTATTTTCAGCTTCCAATAAAAAAAAAGGAAATCAAAATCTTTAGGAACCTTGTTTAATGATCCCATTCTGTTCCAACACAGGCCTGTGCCAAACATTTAACCATCTTTTCGAATTTTATACCACGAGTGCACCCTTTTCTTCAAAGAAATAAAGGGGTGGGGTCATCTTCAGACAGCATCCTTTTGTGCACAACACTTTAAAGTCATTACTCCGTTTTCTTGTTCAGACCCAGGATGAAGTTTCTGGGTAAAGGGCACGGATCCTTTTGGCTGGGATGTGTAATTGGCTCTCCTAGGGTGGTGGCAATTGAGATCCCCAGCTGCACACTCAGGCAGGTGGCTCTTCTCCACCTAAGCGACAAGAGGGCTTACTGAAAATAAAGCTACCTCTACCGGAATTATTTTCCTCTAAAATATTCTTGGTTCTAACTAGCATGAATCCGTCTTCTACAGCGCTACCACCAGCTTGAAGTAAAACGGAAACTGGATACCTTAGTCAGGAAGGAGCGGATTCAGAGGGTGAAGGTAAACTCTTTTACCTTTTAATAGCATTTTGTGATTTCAGCAGCCCCCCCTCCACCCCCTGGCAGTTACTATTGAAAGTCTAGAGGTGCCTACTTTTGGACAGCACACGTAGCTAAGGTCAAGAAAATCGTTCCATTGAGCCTGGATCTCCACTGCCATCAATGTAGATGCTGATAGAACAGGCCCTGCTCCCAAGAAATGCATTTTGAGCACGAAAAACTATCCAAGACAAAATTAAAAATAGCCAAATTTGAAAGGTGATTTTTTTGTGTGTGGCAGAAGCCAAAGAATATTCATGTATCTCAAGAAAATAAAGAGATGGTAGCGTTCCTGTATGAAGGAAAATAAAACATAAGAATTATACAGTCACACATTTTCATTCGAATGTCACCCTTTAAAATTCTGGTGGGAACGAGCTTCCTCAGTAGAAGAAAGCGTGATCAGATCTAAGGCATTTCGTGCTAGGTATTTTTAAACCTCTTGGTTCTCTATTTTTGTTCTCTGCAGTGAACTTACAAAGTGCATCCATTTGAATCAGGAGATGAGAGATTCAATTAGGCATGTTTCAGTTGAGGATGGCAGATTTATTTGATTTTTTGAGCTATTTGAAATCATGAGCTGTTTGTTCTTAATTGTCTGTGGTATTACAAATGTGGAAACATATTTCACAAACTGATAAGTACTTGTAAAGAATTCACTGGGCAACCTGTTTCCTTAAGACTAAATTTTTCCTATCTGGGTTGATGGACTCATGTTTGTTTTATTGGGATCAAAGGCTAATCTTGTTACCAAAGTGTTGTCCAACAGGACATAGATAGCTTCTCAGGGCTCAGGAGGACTGGGGTTCAGCTTGGCTCACTGTGCCTCGCATCATGAACTGTTTTCCACAGGTTGTGATGCAATGCTAGAAGTACTGGGTTTCAGGGGGGCTCATGTTTCCCTTCCTTTGCCCTATGCAATGCAGATGAGGGACACTAAGTGGAAGACTGGGACTTTGGGAGAGTGCTGTGGCCACTTGGGTTCCTCCCATTGGACACCTCTATTGGGACTATCCAGACTCACTGCATATTTGTAATTGCCAAAGGCATGTTTTAGGTTCCTTCTATTTAATAGGCAAATGTGCTTTAGGGCATTATTGAGTTATTGCTTTTGTATCAAAATTAATCTTTTCTGGGAGTCTCTTCAGGTCGGAGTAGTAATGTACTCTATAGTGGCCCAACAAGCATGATCATGGAAGGAAAGGGTACTCAGAGTGACTCCTTCGTGTGCAACTGGAGGAGACTCCATTTTCTCACCACCACACCCAGTCTCCAACAGGGTCTTAAGAGCCTTGCTAACCTCATGTCCAAACACAGAGCGGCATTCTTCGTGGGGAGGGCTTTGATCTCATAGCATGATTGTGTGTCAGGTGCTAAGCTAACCCCATCATCTATACGTCAACTTCATAAATTTCTTTCTCATTCTAGGGGGAGCATACAAGACGTTTTATTGAAGATAACATGCCCATTCTGACACCCCACCCCCCAGCTGGCCCAAAGACTAACCGTGGCTGTAGCGTTCTGGCTGAGGAAGGACGTTCTAGTCCATTAACACTGGTGAGCTCTATTAAGCACTCTGTCCCAGATAATTAATTTATGATTTCTCATTAATCTCAGAAAGAAGGCTCTATGGGAAGCATGTCTGCACAACCCTATAGCCTTGAAAGCACAGTCAAAGGAACAGTTGGAAGCCACAGCCTCCTAACTGCTCAAGTCTCCATTAACAGAGCCCCCTCCAGCCACAATCCCCGAACGTGCAGCTGTCACATCAGCATAAGAGATCGCTTATGCTTACAAACATACCCAGCTCCCTCCCCATCCCTCCACCCCTGCTCTACTTTACCCAAGGAAAAGCCTCCCCGGTGACTAAGATCACACATGATGAGCTGAAGTTATCTATCTCAGTATTTACCCCTCAGCTCAGCAACGTGGCCCCATCGAGACCATCCACGCCATGTCATGCATGCTCTGTGTTTTCTGATATCTGGGTATGGTTCTTGCTCTTCTGTGGTCTGCCCGAATTCAGCAGTGCCATGCTGCATGGTGGTGACATTCTACCATTTCAGGTTATCAAAAGTGCATGCCTCTACTCTGAGATATTATATGTGGGGAAATCCTACCTGAAAAAATCATACACTGATAATTCATCTCAGCATAAACTGTCTGTTGCCCAAGGTGATATATGCTGGAAGGAGGGCACAGTTCTTCAAAACAATACAGATTCAGGAAAGATTAAAAAAAAAGCAAAAACAAACAAACCTGTTTGCTAGATGTTGGTGCTTGAAGCGGGCTAACCTCCCCACCAAGTCTTTACTCTTGGTTTTCATGACTGAATGTTGTTCCGTGTAAAGTCTGATCGTTTTTGTTTGTGTTGCACAATATTTGTGAAGAAATTATGAAGCCTTCAGACTGTTGAGGAAGTTTGTCCCATAAGACCTTAAGCTTCAACATTCTGCAAAAAGTGGACGTGCCTTAACCTGTCCTGGTTGAACAGCCCAAGTCTTCGTAAGCCCCGCTTTTCTCTGGACTGTTTCTCCTCTTCCGGGTCTGATGTGAATGTAGGTGTGAATTGGACTGCGATTCACTAGCCTCTCCCAAGCTCTCCCAAGAAGGAACTGAGGAAATAGCGCTGCTTTCTGTCCTCCACCTGATTTGGAGAGGAAAACCCCTTTAAAATTTCTTTTCAGTTTTCCAGGTGAACCCCCTCAGGAGATAGTCTGTGTGTCGCTGTGCAGGAGTGAGGGAGTCCTCTGGAAATCAGAGACTACACTGCCATCGTCGGACACTTCAACACAGGGCTGCGGCTTGATAACAGGCCGGGTGTCCCGTGCACTTTACTGGTTAGCTACTGTGATTCTTAGGTGAATTTCCTGCTTCCCGGAGGCTCCAATCTCCCTTTGGTTTGTCCCTCCTGTCCTGGACATGGCCCTTCTCAGTTTCAGCCCTGGCTACTGACAGCTATACGGAGACGGGAAACCTTACAGGATGTAAGGAGGTTTTCCTTGAGCTTCCCTAAGAAAACCTCCAGCACCACGTGTTCCTGCACTTGGTTGTTGATTGCCCTAAACGTTCAGACACCGTGCAGTCATTTAGCTGTGCCATCTCCATTAAAATCGAGGAAAGTCATCTCAACTGATTCTGCGCATTTTTGGGAAATTCACTCCCTGGGATCCTCTTGAGAATGAGCAGAATTCGGCTAAGTTCAGTAATGTCCAGGTAGCCAATTTCAACTCACACCTTGGTACAGCTTTGAGAACATTAAGACAGAGCCATATTTATTACAGGAAGATGTATTCACACATTGTAAAATGCAGCAAACTTAAGGTTGCCTCTGATATGAGCTATGAGAGTTCAGGGCTCACAGCTGTTAATGGGAGATTTGTTTTCAGAGATAAATGCAATCAGATGAGCATTTGATGGCCACATCTGTCTGACAGGATGATGTTTGTGTGCAAATGCACAGCCACGACATTAAGAGCACAGTCCCCAATTGATGCTATTCTGATTTGTACTAACCTGCTTTCCTCGACTTCTACACAAGATTTTTCGACAGGAGACCCTCAACGGCATATATGGGTCCAGTAGAGTCTACACGAATTCCTTTGGGTGATCTGAGTCTCTTATTCAGAAGAGTCTGGTTTCGTTTCTGAATGTGGTTTTTAAGACCTCTCTTAGGTTTATCTCTTGCTTTCTCTGAGATTTCTCTTACGTCAGTGGATCCATTGTGTGTCTGTTGTGGTTCAGGTTTGCAGAGATTCTGTTCATTAATTTCCTCATCACCAAGACCAAAGACCTTTGAGAGTTTGACTGAGGCAGGAAAAGCTTAGGTGGCTTACAGTTTGAGGATGTAGAGTCCATCACGATGGAGAAGGCTTCGAAGCTGGTGGCACCACGGTGGAGGGAGCATGTGGCTGGGGCTTTTCTTCTCCTCACAGCCTTCAGACCAGGAAGCAGAGAGAGGAATAGAAACAGGATACTCCAGAGCATCAAGAGCTGCCATTCAGAGAGAAGCTTTTACCCTTCAGCCTTTGCCTACCAAGGAATTCACCAGCTCCTGAAAGAGCAGCTCCAGTTTTGGACCGAGTATTGAAACAGCCAATGGGAGGCATTTGATGCTCAAGTCATAAGTGATTCTAAGCAGCAATGGCTTAACCATGGGGATTCATCCCTACCCCAGACCATGCCCATGAGTCTCAGGTGACTCTATGAAGTCATCAAACACCTGAGCTCCTTCTGTGTTGCTCATCCACCAACTTGGGGTATCTGTTTCATCCACAGCTGCCAGGGCTGTGTATCACCATGTGGATGCTCCAGCCTGAGGGAAGGGGTCTGCTAGAAAGTAAGGACATGCTCCCCTTCTCTTTGTGAACAGGGTGTGTCATAAGAGTCTCTTTTGGTCACATTTTACTGGCCTAAAGTGAGAGGCCCATCTTTGCACAGAGGCCGAGGGAAGTCTGGGGAAACATGCTCTCTTGTGCCAGACATATTTCCAAATGAAAATTCTGTTATTGAGGAAGAGAGGAGAGCAAATATTAGGCAGTATTATCTCTGTTGCTCCTCTCTGGTCCCAGCTCAGAGCCGACTCTTACTTGGTTTTTAAATCCCCATCTCCCTCTTGCCTCATCATTTGGATAAAAATTTTAACTGCTTCAGTGAGAACTTAGTTTTCCTTAGCGTTCTTGTTAGCTGTAAATATTCTAAGAATACATCATTCTACATTCTGTTCACTGGCATTCATCAGTCTAATTGACTAATAGAATCTTTAGATCTTAAATATTACTTTTTAGCTCCTTGCTTGGTCTAAGGTGAGTATTCAGTATGTGCCTACTGTTGAAAAATCAGAAGTTGAACAGTGTGTGCACACATGCTTCCCAAGATGCTGTGAGAACAAGGGCTTGGTAATAGTCACTGGCTGCCCATTTTTTACGTGTGTATTTATACATACTTTTGCGGAATGGAATATTTGTGGCTCATCATCCTTTCGAGTCAATGTACAAAATGCTGTTCATGAATCATTTATGCACTGTCCTTCTCATACCTCTTTGTCCAAACATGCATGTCCTATTCTTAGCATGTTTTCTACTGTCTTCGTATAATAGGACAACTGGGCCAAAAGCTTCACTCCTCCTCCTTTTGACGCATTGCTAATCTTTATACTAAACTTATAATATTCTGTTGACGCCCCCAAAAAGCACTTACAATGTTCCACGCTGGCACTTTCTGTATTCTCTGCAGTGTATTCTTGATTGGAAAGTGTCTCTGTTGGGGGCTCAGCAGGAAACAGATGGCTCATACAAATAGAGTAATTAGGAAGTTGTTTAATAAAGAAACTACTTAGGAAGATACAGCAGGGTAAAGAGAAACCAACTAGGGATGCTAAGCCCAATGGGGTCAGCACCACGGGAAACCACAGTCCCTAGACTGAAAGAGGGAAAGGGAAGGAACAGATTCCGGAAGCAGCCGGTAGGGCCCACAGTGGGAAGGGCTTCTCTGCGGAAGCTTAGGTGTCAGGAACCATTCCTACCCTGCAGGGATGACGGGAGTAAAGGACTCCATTTCATCTTCCCTTCTTCTCTGATGTGACTCCTCTCTTCGGTAGAACCCAACTGCAGTCCTGAGGTTGTTTGGTAAATTCCTCGAAGGAATCCCTTCCAGGGCCCAGAGCGCCGCAGACGGAGACCTAGAAGAACAAACGGAAGCGGCTCCGTGTGGGGACGTTCATTTTTACATAGTGCATCCCAACGTTGCCAGCTATAATTTTTCATTTTGTTTTCTTACATTTCTAGGAAGCAGCTGACGCCCCGTAATTGGTGGTGCATTATAGCCGAGCACCTGCCTTTCCCGTTGTCTGCTTTTACTTTGGGTGCCAACCTTGCAGCATAATGAACTCAGAGCGGATTGGATATTGAAAACATTGAAACTCAAATGAGTCTGTTCCAATCATATCATTTCAGATCTCTCCAGTAGGAACATTATTCAGCTTAACATTTAACTGAGCAAAGCCATTCTTTGCAGAAACGCAGTACTGCCAGGAGTTTACAGTACCAGCAAAGAATACGGGACTATAATAGAGGCCATCTCCTTTGTCTAAAAGGCTCCATCCCTGTGATATTTGGTTATGCAGAGGACTTCAACACCATATGTTTAACAAATACTTTGGGTCAGAAGGCTGTGTATAATGGAAGAATATAATTAAAGTTTAATCTGTTCAGTTAAAAAGACACCATTAATTACTCTGGGCAATTTGTTGGATTATTAATTGGTTCTGGAAACATGTCAAGATACTAATTTAAATGGAACTTTCTCCCCTAATTGTCTAGACAGCCCCTCGACCATATACTGCCCCAGGAAATATGGAGCCTCCGATTCGATTGCAGCCTCTTCTCAGTAATCACACAACGAGAAATGTTTCAAAGATAACTCCAGAGTCCAAACCCAAAATCTCATTGCTGGAAAGTGAAACTCCGTTTCCTATTGGGGTAAATGCTATTTTCTTTAAGAAATACATTCTTTTAAATTGTTGATTAAGATCTTGTACTGTCAAAGGTTCTGAGATGCCATATTTCATTTATCTACATAGTGAAACTTTTCTGTGCATTTATTAAGTACTTACTGTGTATGTCTGATGAACTCTTTCTGTGACCGGAAGACCTGAGGTTTATGTGATTGAACAGGATCTGTACAGGGCAGGTTCATAATGGTGTGCAGTGCTAGCTCACTACAAAGAAGCTGGAGGAAAAACAAAGAAGTCTTTTCACAGCCACAAATGGCTGTCCCCAGACGTGACCCTGTGTGGACTCCTTGCAGATTTAGACACAGGAGAACCAGACAATGGGACTCTGCCTGGCTGGTCTGTGTTTGCACTGGGACTAGCTTTCCTATCAGTGTGTGAAGTTACTTGGAGGTTGAATTATAGAGGGAAGGGAAAGTCTTATTATTTAAATGTGCTGAACTCATACCCAGGGGTTTGACACTGCATCCCTTTCAAGGTTGTATCTTGGGTAATCTTTGCTCTTTAAAGTATAAAAAGGCCAAGTATGGGCATTATGAAACAGAATCTACCTAAGCAGGGAGAACAACCCAGACCATTCCCACACTGGGGAGAGACAGTTTGTGTTTCTAGCTTGCAGAACCGTTGGCTAACTTAAGAGTTTGTGTCATGAATGTAATTGCCATTGACTGGAAGGTTCATTCCTTCCTAGGCAACACCACCCACGAACCTAAGACATTGTCCCCTTTCTCTGACAAATGCCCTCCGTGCAGATAAATGAGCGCTTGCATTTCATACTAAATATACACATGCAACCATGGCATCCCAATCCGCTGGATGTGATTTTAGCTTATGAGAGTGCCTGACACACCTTGTTCAGTTAATTTACTGGTAGCTTCTTATCGGCTCGGAGAAGTTTAACAGGAAGTGGTGCGCCCTGTTCGCACAGACTGCTGGGAGCGAGGCCGGCTCCCGGGTCTTAGATCCAGGGTCCAGCTGAAGGCGCATCTTTGCCATTTTAACTGCTGTTCAGGAGTAGCCAGGTCCCACGAGACTATTTCAGGCTACTCAAAACAGCACATAAGCAGGATCCTGTCACGTTATAGTAATCCGAAATAGGAGATTTGTCCTGATCATGGGTCATTAATCCACCAAGCATTATCAAGCGGCTAACGCTTGTAGGAGCAGTGAATGTTGTTTCCCTGGTTGGCAGAGCCCTTGGGGAGACAGGATCACAATGGGGAGTAGGTTGCCTGGTGACCAAAGAATCAGAACATGGCTGTGTCTCAAGTGTTCCTGGCTCAGGTTAAGGCTTCCTGAGGCACCCATCTCGTCTAGGAATGGGCTTGCCAAAAGTACCAGAAATCTCACAGGTCTTTGCCTAAAACTCTCTGTGTCCTCCGGGGTTAGCTTTGCCATTAGGGCTGGACATACTCAAAGCCTAATGGGTAAGACTTTCTCTCCACTAGGTGGTGCTCCAGTGGGTGCTTTCTGGGTTTTCTTCCCAAGCTTCTGTAGTTCTGAGTTCTACTTTGGTAGATTTTCTTCCTAAACGTAAGAACACTGATAGTGAGACGACACATGGTTTTTACACCCATCAGCTGTTTGTTCTGCTCTCAGTGATTTCCCCCCAAATTAACTCTGAGACACTGGCTACCAGTAATAGCTATATACACACATGGTGACATATAATAATATAATATAATATTATAATATAATATAAACTCAAGTTTTGAGAGTATGGGTTATCGAAGGAGAGGCACTGGGTAGCTCACATGCACCAACAAGTTGAAGATTAATTTCATGTTAGTTCCAATTACATAAATGTTTAAATATTTTAGGCACTTAAGATAGGCTAGGTACTGAAGAAGAACAAGTATTATTATTATTATTATTATTATTATTATTATTATTATTATTGATTATCAAGGCAGACACCAGTAACTTACTGGAGCTTACTATGTAATAGGAATAAACAAAATAGACCCTGAAAAGAGACATGCCTTTATTAATAGTATTGATGATGGAAGTGCTACCAAACTCCTTATGAAAGACAGTGACCTGTATTGTTGCTAAGTATGTATTGGGCCCTGGGTCAACCCTTCCTGCCTTACTGAAAGAAGGGTTTACAGGCGTAAGGACTGGAAGTACCACAGATAAAATGAAGTTGAACTTGTCTTAGCAGTCCGAGTGAGCATCTTCAGGAAAAAGTGGTGCACACGGCCAACAGCAGGTTGGCTTTGATGCTACTAATCACTTGGCAAGTATTGCCAGCATTCAGAGGGAGCCTCTCCTGTCATGGGAAATCTTAAGTGTTTTCAAAGTCCTGCATGGAGGATCTGCCATCCTTTTAATGTTGAGAATCTTCCCAGGGAACAGTGCACATGTATGCAAAGGCGGAGTTGCCTATTTACAGTAGTAAACAACTAGGAAAAGTTTTCCCTTAATGAAGTATAGTTTAAAATGCTTAAGTACATAAAAATACACTATGATTATATGTAGTGGTTTATAAAATCACCCAATATACCTTCTGTTAAAAATAGAAAAAGAACAGGATATTAATTTTGAAAAAATATGATTAAAATTATTTCCAAAACATGACAAGCACCTGATACCAGTATTGTTATTTGTTTTTTAAAAGGAATTAAAATTTTCCAGATTCTCAGTGTTCTAGGTAGTTAATTCTAGGTATTTAATTTCAATATTTGTATCATGGACATTTACTTTCAGTTTGATATTCTTAATGCGATGTATTGAAGAGTGAACTAGAAAGCAAAGGAAGGACACTCAGTGTAACTTAGCATCCCAACAGGAGAATCTGCTTACACAACAGTGTAGCTTTAGTCAAGGTTTGAGCTAGACGTGCGCGCACATACTCTGCTTTGATTGACTTAGTAACCAGTGCTCTTTGCAGAGCTGTCTTTCCACAAAATAGTTTTTCATTATTAAGCGCTTCAAAATTTAGACAAAATGGGCTGAAAACTAATTAGGAATACAAAATATAAATGTGATGCAAATTTATAGTGTGTCAGTATAAATACTTTTTAAAAATTGGTGCAAAATGGATGAAAATATCTAAAGATTCCTTAAAATTTGAAAATTTACATCAGATACATGAAATAACCAATTTGTAAAAATGTTTGGACTCATGTCTGTCTGGTAAAGATTATTGGTTTTATTTTTAAAGTTTTTAAATGATTGAAGAGAGGCATTTTGATTAAACCCTCAAGCAACATAAAGATATATCCCACAATGATAAATTAATGTTTAAAATTTTCTATTTGTTCTTGCTTTCTAAATAAAAATCTACATAAAAAATAACTTAAGAGAAATGTTGCATTATACTGTACATAAATATTCTCATGTTTCCATACATTTAGTGAGAAATACACAATCTAACTAAAAAACCAAGCAAAGTTTAACAATTTGCCTATATATGAGTTTTTAGGATGCTAGCTTTTATGACTGATTTGAATTTATATGGATGTGTGGATACACATACTTAATACACACATATGTCTGTGCCCAAATGCACATTTACAGCACAATATTAATGCTTACACTTAATATTAATAGTAATCTGATATGGGGTTTATTCCTGTTTGCAGGATTTCTGGGTCAAAGAGTATTCTCTTTCAAATTTGGTGAATATTTTTGTTTGTCCTTCATTATACTTAAAGTAATTCAAATAGTCTATAAGCTGGTGTTTGATCTCAGCCTTGCTCTTCCTGCCTGTTCAAACCTGGGGATGTGTGAGGCCAGGGTGTGAGGGCAGTACTTCCTCTCTCTCAGTGAACTGGCCAGCTGTACCTCAGAGTCCAGCCCTGCCTCCCTCCTCGTGTGAAATTAACTAGTTCAACTCTTCCTTGAGTGGTGTTCCTAAGTCTTCTTTTAAACTACATTGACACAAGGTCAAAAACGCGTGCTTATGAAATTTGCAGTAGATGCAAAGTGTGGCTTCAATCGATGCAAGTGTGCATTTGGGGCTGGTCTGCCGTTTCCAGCTGGGCTTGTGTGCAGTGCCAATCACTCAGGCTGGCTTTTGATTCGGGGTTGCCTTGGGGCCCTGCTGGTGTGTCCCTGGGTCTCACATCGTGGTCTGTGATTGCAGGGCAAGAAGGCGATGATGAAGTTCAGGAACTCCATGGACAATTCCCAGAGACTGGATGCCTACCAACTTCCAGACATTAACATTTACCAGATACCTGTCCCCCCGACACCCCAGCCCCAAGCAGGAAAGATCTTCAGGGAGAACAGGTTCGAGCCTTGGAGGCGGAAGAGGCTGCGTCCCATCACCGCTCCCAATGGCTTAGAGCCCCTCTGCACCAGGGTGATTATGGCTCAAATGTTCTTTTATTACTGTAACACCGATGACGTGACACCAGCTGAGGTCTGTAGTAGAAGAATTTTCTAGAATCAAGGACAAATCTGCATTGCATAAGGAAATACAGTATTTTGTAAGTGCAGCTATCAGCATGAGTGAGTTAAACGAAACATCTGGGCAGTTCAGCCAAAAAGCTAGTCTTGCATCACTGATGAGAGAACCCTCATGAAGCCTTGTGCCAAAGTTCACTTTGACTGACTCCAACTTCTTCCCCTTAATTTGATCATAGTATCTTAACATTTAATTCATAAAAATTCATGGACTTAAGCATAGCTGGAGAGAATAATAAATATTATCAAATTTTATTTTTAATGGTTTGTTGCGAATTAGTGAATATTGCCTACAGTTTTTTTTTTTCAGGGTTCTTTGAAAATGCTGGGCTTTGTCCCACATTTTCCCCAAAGCCTTGGTACAGCGCATGCTTGTAAGCCTAGATGAACTTTAGAGAGCTCCAGGCTTGTGCGAGAGCAAAGGACCTCTTCTTTTTCATTTGGTAAATACATAACCACATTAATTACACGGGACCGCCGTGACTCTTAGCAGATAGTGGGACTGACATTTTCGGTGAAGATCAAGTGGTAAAGTACCCGGATGCACCCACCGCCTGCATCCGTGCTCCCAAGCCAGCCTCGTCTCCAGCATCCCTTTCCACTCTCAGCCGCCTCCCTCCCCTCTAACCTTCTCAAAAGGCCAGGACTTCTTTTCCTTACAGTTTCAAATCTCCTCCTTTCAATTTAATTTTCCACAGTCCTCTCTCTCTTCCTGGTTCTGTCTCTGGCGGAGCCTTCTCTGTCATCTGTGAAGACTCCTTCGCCCTTGTTGCCTCATCTTTGACTGATATTGTTCTCTGCAGCTTGGTTCTTTGGCCTTAGCACAGCGTCTCTGCTTTTTTACACAGTTACAAAGTCCTTTCTATGTGCAGCTTAGACCGGTTTTTTCTTTTCTTTTACATTTTAAATATTTATTCTTTGAAAATTTCACACTTAGCATATTTTATGTTACATACTTCCAACTATCTCTCTCCAACAGACGCTGAAACATACCAACTGACTCAGCACCCAACTTCATGTCTACTATTATTATTATTATTATTATTAATCTCCCTGGGGCCATTAGTGCTGATCATTTATAAATGGTTGTGGGGCTACTACTGGGGTGTGGGTACCCTATCAGTGGCCTCATCCCCAAATAGCACCACCAACTGTAAAAAAACATTATCATGACTATGTGAGCTGGTGTGTGCTCAACACCATCATGACTATGTGAGCTGGTGTGAGTACCAACACTACCGAATTTTGCTAATTAATTAATTATTCAAGACAGGGTTTCTGTGTGTGATAGCGGCTGGAACTTGAATTGTAGACTAGTCAGGCCTTGAACTCACAAAGATCCACCTACCTCTGTCTTTGAGTGCCGGGAGTAAAGCCATATGTCCTCACTCCGAGTGACCTTTTAAAGATGGTCTCGATTGTGTCTGATAGATTTTTGGTATTTTGTATTTTCCTTAACTCGAGACATTTTTTTTTATTTCCTTCTTACTTTCTTCAGGAACCTGATAATCATTCAGTAGTGTGTTTAGTCTCTGTGTGTCTGAGTGCTCTGTGTACCGTCTGTAGTTTACAGTGCCGTTGGTATCTAGCTGTGTTCCACTGTGGTCTAATAGAATATGCTATTCTAATTTTCCTATGTTTGTTGAGACTTTCTGTGAATCCCAATATGTGGCCAATTTTGGAGAAAGTTTTCATGGACTACTGAGAAGAATGTCTATTATTCAGTGCTTGAGCAGACTGTTCTATGGATTCCTTGTAGGTCCTTCGGATTTGTGATGTCATTTAACTCCAATGTTTCTCTCTTTATATGGCCTGTCTACTGTTAAGAGTGAGGTATTAGAAAATATTATCACTGTGTTGGGGTTGTTAATTTTTTTTACATCATTTAGTATTATTTAATGAAGTTGGGCATGCCTGTGTTTTGTACATACATAGTTACAATGATATCTTCCCTTGCAGCACATTCCTTATTGGGTATGAAGTGCTTTCTTAATGGGGAATTGAGGCCAATTAATTTGCAGAATTATTATTGAGATATGTGTATTAATATCTGTCATTTTGTTGATTGTATGAAGTTTTCTCAGACCTCATTTGATAACCAAGTGTTCTGTATTATTAATTCATTGGAACCCCTTGTGTGTGATTTTCCTCATTTCTAAACCAAACAATTTTGTGTAGAGCTAGCTTAGTGATTAGAAATTCTTTGGTCTGTTTTTATCATAGGAAATTTTTATTTATCCTTCAAATGTATGAGATAGTTGTGGTGGGTAGAATAGTCCAGGCTGACAGTTGTGGTATTTCAGATTGTGGGATATTCTTTTCAGGCCCTTATGGCTTTAAAAGTTTGTGCTGAATAATGAACAGTGATTCTGGTTGACGCTGACTTGGTCTTTCTGGCAGTTTCCAATAGTCAGTCTTTATTCTGTGCTCTTAATATTTTAACTATAATAGTTCACAGCGAGTTTCTTCTCAGCGCTTATTTAGAATTCTTAACGTTTGTATACAGGTGCTCATCTCTTTTTTTTCCCTCTTTTTAAAAATGTGTAGCCCAGGCTGAATCGAACTCGCGCTCCTCCTGCCTCTGCCTCCTCAGCAAATCCTCCCAGTGTGCACCACTACAACCGACTGTTTTTTCTTAAGTTTGAAAATTTTCTTGAAAATGCTTTCTATAAATTGGTAATATAATTTGTTTTACTGTTTCCACAATCTGAAAATATGACAATTTTTTCTTCTTTTGCTGTATGTTTAGTTCTCTCTTAGCCTTTGGTATATACCCATCACACATACGAATTCTCAATCCAGGAAGACTCAGAATGCTCACAGTTTTATGGGCTACACTCCCTGGAAATCTTACTTCTGCAATGCACACTGATAACTTTTGATTCACAACTGGAGACAAATCCTTGCTTATGTTTCGGAATGCTTGAGTGTCTGCTGCTGGGTAGTTCCATGGGACTGCTGGGTGAACGGACAAATGTGAGACCTCAGGTGCAAGCTCACTGCGGGTTTTATAGCATCTTAAGAATCTGGATGCGAGTTTATATTAATGTTTTGATATAATTAATGTTATATTTATTATATTTATAAATTATATTATATTATTTATTATATTTATAAATAAATATTATATTTAATATAATATAATTAGAGCTCTGAGGTAAAAGTGAACATCACTGAGGATGTAGAGAAACAGCTGACTCTACTTTAAAACTGTTTTCACTCAGCCATTTTATTTTAGAACAAAGTAGAGAAGAGGACTTGAAAATGTTTATCTCTGTATTAGCATTAGATTTCAACTCAGATGGCAGCTGAAATTTTAGCTAGCTAAAATTTCCAAATTAGGAACTGGTGTACATATTATATGATAAAAATAATAATGATGATATTTGGTCACCAATAAAAGACAAAAGCAAGGAGTTGAATATCTGTATCATCTACCTATCTATCTATCTATCTATCTATCTATCTATCTATCTATCTATCTATCTATCTATCTATCTATCATCTATCTATCATCTATCTATCATCTACTGATATTCCAGATCCCTCCATTGTTCTTTGTATATATTTTAAAGCTTATTATTTGCCGTAGCCGTCTGATCCAGTTTCTCTTCTTTGTCCTCCAGGCCTGACACTGTTTTCTACCCAGTCTATCCTACTGGGGATGTTTTCTCCTGAGGTTTTCATGTGTTTCATGTGTATTATTAAGCTTTTCATTTCCGACAGTTTCAGGTTGGCTTTCTTCCCTGATTGTATCTCATGGAGTTCTGCTTTCATTTCCTGCCCTGGCATCCTCATTTTATTCATCTGCTTTTGTTCTGCTGAAGTATGGTGATTTTTTTTGAGTTGTGGTAATCACACTTACACACATGTATGCACACATATGATCACACATATGCACATGCTGGCACTGAAACACACATGCATGTTCGGGAATTCTCTCTGCGAAGGGTAGAACTATCCAGTCTACCCTCCAGGATTCTAATCATCAGCTTTTCTCCCCTGCTCTCTGCATCCTTGGACTGACGTCTTTCTGGCTGGGGGAAATCTTTTTTTATTTTCCACATATTCTAATGAGATTTTTGTTCTGATGCCATATTTAAATTCTGTTCTTGTGCGTTCATTGGCCATCCTTTTATAAAACACTTTATTTTGGGGTTGGATAAGTGCCTCAGTGGTTAAGAAAGCTTATTGCTCCTGTAGAGAACACTGGTTGGATTTCCTGCATTCACAATTATTCATCTACATCATTTTTTTGCTTTTAGCACTTTGGAATTTTAGGTATAAATCCTGGGCTTTTAATGTAGTCTGTTTTCAATATAGTGGGCAGGTGGTTTGTGTTTAATTCGATTTGGATATCTGCCCCACTAATGAGTTTAACCCCACCCTGTTCCATGTTGCAACATTTCTTTGGTATCACCCCTTGTGCTGTATCTCTTCCCTCCAGACCCTGTTAGCCAGGCTCATTTCTCCCACCTTTTTCTCTCACACCTGTGACTTGATTTTGTTCTCACCCTCAATCTGAGCATCTCCGTGACTTCAGCCTCGATATTTCCTTCTCTGTTCTGACAGCGCCGTCTTCTCCCAAGGTGTAACAGTTTGCACACTACCTTCTCCAGGTCAGTGCAGCCTGAGATACAAAAGCATCCGAGTAAGAAGTCATGTTTCGTCATCCACCAATGAAGACGATCTCAGTTCTGCCCATCTTCCAGTTCCTTCTCCCACCCCTTCCAAGCCTACCTAAATTACTACTTCAACTGACCCTCTCTTTATTCATGGAATTATCAATTCCTCTGAAAATATACTTTCTTTCAAACTACCTACCGTTTTTCTTCATTTAATTGTCTGTTCTTCTATATGTGCTCTGTGAACTTTTTTATTTTTTATTTTTTTATTTTTTTTGCTCTGTGAACTTTTAACAAAATATGAAATTTTATGTTTAGTGCCAATGCTAATGGCATTTATTATTTAGTGAGTCCTTAGACTATAATGTTTAACATACCATATATGCAATAAACCTCAAAAGGGACACACAATTACTTAACTTTGGAGATGAAGCAAATCAGGTTAAATAAATGATCCATGATCACAGAACTCATTAATATCATCTTTAAACAGCACAGCAAGCTGAACTGTTGTTGCAATCATCAAACCCAAAACTGATTGCGATTTATTTTCTCTCATCTCTTGAGATTCACTGTAATTGGTCAGCAGTTTTCTTCAACGGAGAAACCAATTAGATTTCTACATGACAATCCCAGAGACTTGACATACATGCTCACCTTTCTTATAGGGAGTCCTGAAGGGGTCATTGTGTCCAGGTACCTCTCAGAATGAACCAAGACAAGAGTCTATTGTCTTCGCTCACTTGTAAAGATGAAGTTATCACATCAAAAATTGTCATTATATCTTGATCAATATCAACTCAAAACAGAACATTAATATTTATTCTGTTCATTTGTTTGAATTTTTATTTGAAAAGTAGCTGAAAGAGTCAAAAGTACTTTCTTTCTAACAGAGGAAGAGAGGAAAAGAGAGAGAGAGAGAAAGAGAGAGAGAAAGAGAGAAAGAACTTAAAGTAGAAAATAACAGAATTTGATCATATCCCTATCATTTACAAAATTCAACGCCTAATCTGTATGCTAAAGTCCTTGAGGGGAATTTATTATGTGACATTTTCTATTCTTACACTTTGTATGCAACGACCCTTTATAAATATTTTCTTATGGGGTGCTTGGAATTCTATGTCTCTGTTCTTCACATTATAAAGTCGTGTGGGAACAGGAGTCCCATGGCAAGACATGCAGTCACCAGGTGTCCATTTTGTCTGTCCTAGGACCCAGGGAGGATTTACAAAGCAGCACCACACAGCAATGCAGTTATCACAATGATCTATTTTGGGAAAAGTGTGCACCTGTCTTACGAGGACACAGACTTTCGAGATGAAATCAAGATTTACCAGCAGCACTGTGGAGGAGAGAACCTTTGTATCTACAAAGGCAAACTGCTTGAGAAAGGTACAAATCAATGTGAATTTTAAAAATAAGTGGTTGGTTGATGTTCCAGATAAGCTGCTGTTGACATAATATCGAAATGACTTCAACCACTCGGTGAAATTATGCATATCCAGGGAATTATAAACCAACAGCTGCCTAAAAGTAAATCTAGATTCACAGCTCCTTGATTGAAGCTTAAGCAGCAATTACTCCTGCAGACTGTAGAAGGAATTTGGGGTTGTTTAACCTGGTAACAGATCAATTTTGAGACAGAGATATATATGATCATTAAGGTGCTTCAGGAATATGCTGTCCCAAAAATTATAAGTTAACATTTGATTTGCTACAGTGAATGATATTATAGGTTTTCATAAGGAAAAATTACTGATTGCAAATCTGTTCTTTAACAGAATTACAAATTAATAGACTCCATGATAAGTTATACTTAAATAACTTGATGTCAAATTTTTCTAAATGCCCTTCTTAGTACTTAAAAGAATTTCCTTTGATTCTAAGTCCGTACTTGTCAGGATAAGATGCTTTTATTAACACACATATACACTGTGGTCTTTTCTTAAATAGTTAGCTTAGTAGGGCAGCCATGAAAGGCAGAATGTTTACAAAACCGTGTTCAGTTCTTGCTTGCATAGGAAATTATCTTCAGAAAGCACTGCTTGTTTTCATAACCAATAAAAAATCTTGAAACAGAATGAGAATCTGGGAAAGAACTTCGGTACACTTGGAATTGGAATTCTCTTTCCTTTTAAATTTCTTTCTCCTATCAAAAGGAGTGATTTTAAGGAAAACAGAGCCAAGCGTTCAAAGTCACAAATACAGTGACATAGTTTGGAATCACGTTTTAAGTCTTCCAAATAAACAAGACACTAGAATATTGTTTTCAGTTAAATTAAAATGAAACATGGCTCTTAGTTTGCTGTTACTATCTTTTTACAAATCTGTCAAAATTGTCTGAATTTCCTCTGGTGTTGTGTAGTCCATTTCAGAGTTGATTCCCATCACTGCAGATGCGGGAGAAAAAGGCCCTCTGAGCTGTAGTAGCTCTTGTAGGATTTCTGCCTAGCGCTGGCCAGCTTGCGTGGGTTCTATGAGTCAGTGACACCTCAGTTGGCCTCAGTAGCCGAAATACCAACGTTTTTATAGAGGGAAGGTTGTGAATTCCTGGGAGCTTGGCATAAATTGGGGCACAGTCACACATCCGTCCTTATCATAACTCAAGCAGCTTTGACACAATTATTCTTTAAAAGTAGGATGATTGGGTATGAATTTGGGAGAACTGATAAAATTAGCTATTATCTAAAGTTAGAATGCCTATGTTTAGGTGTCTATGCTTAATAGAGTTTCCTAGCTTCTGTATTGCACTTGATTCAACATGTATATAAAGGACTGTTTGGTGGAGAAGGCGACTTAGACAAATGAAGTCTTGTCTGTGTAACCTAGTAAACAATATACATGGTAGACCAAAGGTGTGGAAGCTGGCAGGGAGGGTGCTGCTGGGCCTGATTGTTTTGTGGACATACTGATCCTGTGTCTTTGTTTTGAGACACTGGAAAATCTTACATGACAAAGTGGAGTGAAGACTTAAGTTATGGATTCTGTCCATGCTGTAACTTGGCCTCAGCTTGTCTTGTCACCAGGACAGGAATTGCTCAAAACCGAAGATTTGGTTTATTATGGACCTATCATGAGGTTCAGTAACTGGAGTGATTTTTCTGGGCTATCAAGAATCTGCCCTTAGTTGTGTGTGATTCTGTGAAATGTCAGTAGGTTCTAAGGGTTCTATGGAGAATAAATAAAAGTCTTTATTCATACTTTTGGAATAATCCACTCATTAAAATGTGGCATTTGTGAATTTTTCTCTACAATAAAAACCTATGAAAGAATGGGGCTGAGAGCATCTTTTTAGGACCAGAGTAATTCACTGTGCCTGTTGTGGTTAGATGCACAGAGTCTGAGGCACAATGAGTTCTTTTCATGCATCTGGGAAGTCCTTGGGATGTTTTTGCTTCCTCCAAGAAAGCAAAAGGACTTCGGCTTCCTCCAAGCATTCTGACTTGCCATGTGTATCCCTTCAACAAAGCTTTGGCTCCTGGGCTTATGTAAAAGCAAAGAATGTGGAATTGGTTTTCTGGCCTTCTAATAGTCTCCCCCTCCTGATCCAGTTTTCTTAGACTCCACAACCCAGTCCCACCTTACTATTGAGCCACACCTCCTTTCCCTCCATACCCAGCCTCTTCCACAGAGGGTCCTCTTTTCCTGTGGTGTTTACTTGGCCTGTGGTGATCCCTCTTCTCCCCCCTTTAACTTCAGATCCCACTCAGCCACTGAGTCTGGTTGAAGCTTCTCTTTTTCAGGTGACTTTTCCTGGGCTTTTCCTAATGCTAAAATGGAGAGTCTGTCTAAACTTCGAACAACATCTCTACTGTATTCTGACTTCGTCCAATTGTTCTCATGCCTTTTGTTTTTTTATATCAGTTTCTATTTTAAGGTAGATTTACCAAGATATAGATAAATTGTCATGAAATCCACCCATTGTATGTGTGCAAGCTGATGGTACTCAGGGAGTGTGTAAATTTGTAGGCACTGTTGTCCAACAGTCAGACTCTCCATCACGTCTGTCTGTTCACTGCCTGCTTCCTCTCTCTCCTGATTTGTTGAATCAGTAGTTTCTTTCCTTACCTTGCCAAGTGTAGGTGTCCCGGTGATTACATCCAGTCTGCAGCTGAGTCCAGATTGGGGTATAATAATAACACCAATAATAAAGTATATTGATAATGTCTCTAAGGATATACTATAGGATGTTGGTGTACACACACATTATAATCTGTATTAGTCAAGGTTCTCTAAAAGAATAGAACTGATAGAACACACACACACACACACACACACACATGTATATACAGATGTGTGGAATATATTAGAGAGGCTTACAGGTTTGATCTGGGTAGCCCAACAATGACTGAAAGTCTAGAAGTCCATGAGAATGGATGTCTCAGCAGCTCCAATCTGTCACTGACATCCTAGAGAATCCTGGAGAGCTGCTGACCTTCAGTCTAAGTAGGAATCCTGAAGAAGAAGGTGGTTCTAACACTAGTGAAGGGGTGAATGCCTCAGCCACAGGCTAGGCAGACTTACTAGTGGGAGTGAGGCTGAACAGGAAGCAAGCAAAGCTTCCTTCTTCCACACCATTTTCCCATGGCTGCCAGCAGAAGGTGCTGTCCAGATTTAGAGACTGAGCCTTTCTGCTTCAGATAATCTGATTTAGAAATATCTCTCACAGGAGTTACAGAGCTGCTTGAGTTTAGGTGATTCCAGATGTCAAGATGACAGCAGAGATGAGCCCTCGCCTTGTTTCTCTTCGTTAGATTGCTAGAATGGTTGTGGTTGCCCTTTTTCTTCTGTATGGGAAGAGCTTCCTGTTCTGACTTTTCTATGTTGTGTGTTTTGAAGTCGATGTGAAGTCTCATTTCTGGAACCGTGATGCAGCTGGGAAACTTTCCAGTTCTCAGGCTGGTGTCCGATTTCACAGGCTGGTGCTCATCCTTGGCACAGGGGCTCAGACCCTCTGCGAATTGTTGCATTCGTGCAGTATTGGTGTCCCAGTGATCTTTAAGTGATGGTGCAAACAATGGAAGTTTATCTTCTATGTATGGATATTGCATTATGAAATATTTTCACACTAGCCCAGACATATGCTGGGAAACAGAACAGAATGCAGCAGCCAAGGGGCTCGCACATGCCCCTATGTCCGCATACACAGTACCCGCAACCATGCTCAAAGTGGGCTAGCATCCCGAAGGCCAGTGACTGAAGGAGTTCTCACAGCATCTGGAGGCCTGAAATCCAAAGTGAAGATGGTGCTGGGGTGAATTCTTGCAGAGCTCTAGGACAGAAGCTTTCCTTGATTCTGCCCAGTCCTGACTCTCTGAGAAGCCCTGGTCCTCTGCTGGTGACAGCACTATCATGGAGTGTCTGCATCTGGCTATGTGTGGCCTCTTTTGTGTATGTGTTCTCTTTTTGTGAGAACATCAGGTGTCAGGTGCTGAGAAAAACAACAGCAAGAACGCCTTCCTCTTAAGCCTCTATTCGTGATATCTCTGAGATCTACTTGCTGCCTGAGCAGAGTCACCCAGACGTTCTGAATGACTCTGAGCTCCAGTGAGTCCCGGGAAGCATGCCGTGCCTGGAGAATTCTCATGCCCCAGCTCTGGTTTTCACCAGGCTCTCTTGTCTGCTCTGTGCCTAGGTGAAGATGTAGGTAGACTGGATTCATGGAATAGGTGGAATCCACTCTAACCCAGGCTGCTTCCTGAAAACACAGGTTGCGAAGCAAGCTGTGGAAGGCTGCTGTGGCAGCCTCATTGCCAACGGCTCCTTGAGAAGGTCTGGCGTGTGGCTTTTAATAATTAAGGCCCTAGTCTTTGGGAACCTCTGACCTTCTCTGTGAGCTGCGTGGAGATTGCTGCTTATTAGTAGAAATATCATAGGCCAAGGGCTTGTTGTCTTCTGCACCAAATGATGTCAGACTCTAGGGGCCAGAAGCTTCCAGGAGTTTTCCTTTCTCTGCCCATTTAGAGTACTGGTGTGAAGGCAGCCGGTGCGGGGAGAGAGAAGCCCTGGGCAGAAGGACACAGATGCTTTGTCCTCTCTCCTGAAGTCTGATTTTAACATGAAGTAAATGCGACCCACTTTATCTTGTCTGTTTCCAAAGACATTCTTTTTAAGGAAAAGATTTGATGCTTTCAATTTATAACCCAGTGTATTGTTCCTCTGTGTCTGAATTATAGATTCTTGAAGGAGGACATCTCTATACACATAAGTCTCTCTCTCTCTCTCTCTCTCTGTCTCTCTCTCTCTCTCTGCCTATTATCCATTTATCTATCCACCATATGAAGGAGTCCTCTATACACACAAATCTCTCTCTCTCTACCTCCCTCCCCCAATGTGTGTGTACCTATCATCTATTTATCCATCCATCCATACTTAGTATCACTCTTGCCTTAAGTACTGCAGTGGCATCTATCAGTGAACAGCAAACATCATCTTGGCATTGCCAACACTCTACCACTCTTTCTAATATCAAATATTATGACGTGGATAGGCTAGGGACCTCCAATCCCTGTCATCCTCAGATTCATCAGAGAAGGATTAGGACAAGGACTCCAACTCCATGCTGTCTGGCCTGCACTCCTTTGTACTCCACGAAGAAACCACCAAGTCAGGGGAGGGAGAAATCACAATATGTTAAGATATAAAATTATAAAGCAACAGAGATAAATAAAGGCAAAGGATCCCACATCTTGTTCACTAAGTTTGAAAACTATGAAATAATCAAATCATTAATATCAGGGTGGATGGAGGCAAGGCAGGTGACTGTCATGTTTGGTAGTTGAGTCCCCATGTCCTTCCCCTAAATTTTCCCTTGAATACATGTTTTGTTTTTATTTTATGTGTCTATATCTGAGTCTCCATGTGTGTATGTATGTACACATGTGTGGAGATTCTGAGTGAGCCCAGAGGATGCTGAATACCCTGGAGCTGGAGTTACAGGAAGCTGGGAGCTACCTTATTGATGTGGACTCTGAACTCTGGTCCTCCGAAACAGCAACAAGTGCTCTTGACTGCTGAGCTATCTGTCTAACCCTTCCTGTATTTTCTTAAGTGTACCTTCTCCTGGTGGGCACTTGAGTTCTAAGGAACCAGCTGAGAACAAGGGATTGCAGTGTGTAGATACAGGTTCAGCTGTAATGAGGTTAAACTGCCCCCTAACCTCTGAATGAGGAGTCTGTTTATCATTGATCCTGGTAAACCTCTGAGGCCATTGTGTCTTAGCTTTTTCAGATGGTCACCTTTTTCTTAGTTTAATTTCTCATCATGAATACTAAGCTGTACAGGATGGGACTTTCTCAGGTCTAACTCTTTAAGGTAGGCTGCATTTGACTTAGGAAGTTTCCATGACTCAAAGTAACATACCCACAGACACTTTCAATAACTGAGCAGGAAAGAGGTTCAAATGATGTCTCACAGTTTCATATTTGGGGGCTCCTTTGCCATCGTGGTTGGATCCAAGATGAGTAGACTAGCGTTGCCATCCCAGGTTTTACACATACACTGCACAGCAGGCATCTGAACTGGGGCTCCGAGACGTGAGGGCTCCAGCAGCAGCACCCAGGAACTTTCTAGAAATGCAATTTAAAAATATCAGAATTTGTCATCAACTCTAATGCAACCCTTGGAAGTGAGAAACTCTTCGCAAAGGGTTGACTGTCCAGCTTTAAATAGTGGTTCCATACATTAAAGTTTAGAAACATCCAGTGCAGACATATTTTAACAGATTGTAATAAGAACTGAGATAGGTAATGCATGTGTTGCAGAGAGGTGGATCCCCTTGAAAGCCCCCCCGGAAGTGGCATGTGCAGCAAGATTCTGAATCATTCTGTAGAGCATCTCTTAAGTGGGACTTTATTATAGACAGCTGTAAATATGTAGCGTGATTAAGACAGCATTACAAGCATCAATGCTCAATTTCTTGGTAGGATGCTTTAAGAAGGTAGAGAGAAAAATAATCTCAAATGCAAACAGAAGTAAGTGTAGCTCGGAGTTGAAATAACTCTCACCAATATATGCATCGTAATTAGAACGTCTAATGCTGGAGTTTAAATCTAATACTTGTGTGTGAAGGTCTGTGGCGTATGTGCTCATGTGTGTGTGGGGGGGGGCACTCAGGTATTTGTAAACGTGTGTGGAAGCCAGGAGGTGACCTTGGAGCCACTCCTCTGGCGCTGTGCTCCATGCTTTCTGTGAGACAGGGCCCCTCACCACCCTGAAGCTCTCCAAGTTGGCTGGCTCCCCAGGACTGGGATGATAAACAGGCTCTCTCACCCTTGGCTTTTGTTGAAACATAGTCTCTGGAGTCCAGCTGGGCTCATCTGCTCACAAGAGAACATTTGACCAGCTGAGCTTGGGAGCACAGTGACACTCCAGCACACGTGAGGTCCTGATGTCACTTCCAGTATTAAAACAAAGTTCTCAGATAAAAAGCATGTTCTGTAGCATAAGCTATGTTTTTGAAAAGAAAAATGTGATTTATAAGACTTTGATATGAAGCCAGTTGCTCTCAGGAACATGTGTTTTTGGTTTCCAGACACCTTCCAGTTTATCTCCAAGCGACACCATGGCTTCCCCTTCAGCCTCACCTTCTTCTTGAATGGGATCCAGGTGAACAGGCTGAGCTCCTGCTGTGAGTTCAAACACCGCAGGAGCTCGAGGCTCGGAGGCAAGCGAGGCTACTTCGGGTTTGTGAGTGTGGAGAAGGCATCTCCCTGCTACAGGTATGGAAGCACGGCGTCCTCGGCAAGCGTGACTGCTTTGCCATGTTATCTTTGGCAGATCCTTTTCCCTACACAGTTCTTAAAGAAAGTGAATCAGTATATACAATCTCAAAAACGCAAGTTAAAAGTTGTTGACTGCAGCCACAAATGCTCGATTTTGAAATTATAAAGTGTAATTTCTAAATGTATTATATAGAGGAGATAAAAAATGGTGGCGTTTTAAATTCTGTCTCGCTTCTCATCTCTCTTTTGCCTCACACTGCCTTAAATTGCAGCTGTGTAGGGAGAGGGGTCTTTTCCTTCATTTCTTTCTTGTTATTACTGATAACAGCCCAAGGCAAGCCCCCCATTCCCATGTGATGTGCTATAATCTATCTGCCTGTGTGTATGTAATCTCCAGGCTATGCCTACTGGAAACATGTCCACACTTCTAGGTCGCCTACTTTTATCTCCTTGTCCTTGATTTGGTATTAGGGGTAATGACTGCTCTTTTTATCAACTTTCATGCAGGACAGCCTGTCTGAGTCTGGACTTATTCTTGGAGGCTTTCTTTTAGTTTGCTTTTTCTTCAAAATATTCCTGAAGAATTGACTAAATATCAATTAGGACACAGTATATTCATGAAACCATGACACTCCTTCCTTTTGCTGGAGGGAAACAACATACTAATACTCTGATCAATACAGGCCTAATAAAAATAAGCATGAGGAAGAAAATGAGGCAGGGAATTTATGGGGTGAGCAGGACCTGGTTGGGGGAGGGTGCTGTGCAATGTAACATAATCACGAAGCAACCCAGTAACTTGCTTTGGCAGAAAGCAGAAAGATCTCTTCCTCCAAATAGCTTCTCAACTGGAAGCCCTATGGGGAGGCAGAGGAAGCAGTGTTCTTGGTGTGTTCAACTTGTTGATCAGAACAAAACAGAGAATGGAATAGTGAGAGGGGCAGTGGAGTTGAGTCCTGAGAAGTCCTGAAGTCCTTCCGAGGTCTTTGCGTTTACTCTGAAGTTAGAGAGTCTATAAAGGAGGTGTTGAACAATGTTCTACAATAATCCAATGATGGCCTCTAAGGGAAAAGTTGAAAAGATTGAGAAAAAGAGTTGAAGTTGCTTTGGTCCAGGGAATAGGGAATGTCCGGAAGAGCTGAAGGGTTTTAGTTTGCCGTGTACTTTGATGGTAGAGTGTTTATAAGGCTTACTCATGGTTGGACCCGGGCATAAATTTGAAGAGAAGAGTCAAAGGTGACTCAAATATTTTCATTCTATGGCCTGAAGAAATGACCAGTGGTTACGTGCATTTCCTGTGCAAGCTTGGCGACCTGAGTTCAGATCCCCAGCACCTACACGGAATTCAGACATGGACATGCGTCTGTAATCCCAGTGTTAGGAGGCAGAGGCAAGCAGATCCTCAGAGTCTAATGACTCTAATGACTCTCAATTCAGTGAGAGACCTTAACTCAGGGAGGGTATGGTGGACACCCCAAGTCTTATCTTTCACACAACCCACTCTTACTTGGTGCTGGATCCACTTCTTGCACCAAAACCAAAATAGATAAATAAATAAATAAATAAATAAATAAATAAATAAATAAATAAATAAAATAAAGAGAAAGGTTTGTCCCGAGCATCTAAAATATGTTCATTTTGTGTGTATGTAAGATCAGTTGTGGGAGGTGTGTATGTAAGATCAGTTGTGGGAGATGCAGTTGGAGAGGTGGAAGGAAGGGGTTTCACGTTTGGACACCCGCAGCTTTAGCTGTCTGTGAGATAAGGCAGGCAGCAGTACTGATGAGGAGTAGCCAGGTGGGTACTGAATCTCAGGTGAGGTGAGCTATCCAGACTTGAGAACAGTTTTATACTGATGGCAGTAAAGAATGGGCCCCCTTAAAGGGATCAGGAGCCCTGACAAGTGAGCTGTGTACCAGGAAGAAGGGCACTCTAGAGCAGGAAGAAGGGCACTCTAGAGCAGGAAAGTTGGGTTTTGAAAGTAAAGCCCCAGGGAAGATTATCTTGGACATAAAATGGTTGAAGAAAAAGGCAGTGGCTCATGGAGCCTGTCTATTCTCTTTCTCTTTGCAAGAATATAAAAATTGTTATGAGATTAAAGAGTGGGGTCTATCATCTTCAAGTGATTTACTTACAGCTCTCAGAGAATAGTGACAGGTTTTTTTTATTATTATTAACTTCAAAACCACACCCTCCAAAGACATCCGTGAATGCTTCAAGTAGTTTCCTTGGCTGTCCCCCTGTCACAGTTGAGATAAAGATCCCCTCATAGTGACAGAGATGAGCAAGGTTGGGTGGCCAAGACTAGAGTCCTGATCCTTGACTTATGCTCCACTTGCAGTGACTTCAACTATTGCAGTCATTTATTTGAGCTTCGGTCATCAGAACCAACACTTTGAATTACACTCAGACGCTAAAGAGGGAGTCAGTGATGGAGGAGCCAGATGTTACTCGCTTTGTCCAATTCCCTCTGGCAGATGGGCTATAAAAAGTCTGAGCCTGCAATAGTGAGGTCTCAAAGTCTTCACACAGCCACAGTGCGCATTCAAAGTAATAACGAATCGCAGGCTTCAGGCGCCGAGTCTGCTGTTGCCCACGGATCAAGGAAGAATGGTTTGCACAGAAGACGAAGCTAGTGGAGACTCCTGTGAAGACACGTGGCGTCTTTGTCCTGGGGAAGGCCACACATTAAACACACCATCATGATGGGAAAAGCCCTTATCATGCTTAATTTGGACGAGATGCCTCTTGTGCCTGACAGCGTGATCTTTAGGTGGAGTGCTAGTCCTTCCAACTTTATTACACAGGGAGGTGCTCAAGTGTTTAGTGATAGAATTTAGTTCTTACTTTTTGGGGGGTAAATTGATTAAGAGCAATTCCCATGCTACTTGAAGACTGAAGATGGCTGAAAATTCAGTAAACTCTTTAGTTTAAGAAATTACCTGGGCTTGGAGATAACTTCAGCGGCTGCACAGGTACAAGGACCGCAGTTATGAACTGAAGGTATAGCCAAGATGAAGGAGGCTCTGTGCTCTTTTCTTTCTGCAGTGCGATGGATGTGTCGGAGTACCGAGTTAACCTGGTGTACAGAGGCTCAGCAGCTGCCAAACCAGATGGAAGGCACAGAGCAATGCCTGAGGGTTTTCTCTGTTCTCCACACACATACCACGGCATATGTGTATCTACACACCCACACACTCAGACACATACATTCACACACACACACATCCTGTGTACATACACACATGCACATATACACACCATATGTAAATAAGACATTGTCCGTGGGTTAGGTTCTGGTTAAGGCAGTTTCCAGATTGCGTCACTGTTTCTGTTGATTGGACTGGACTATGCTCTGACCCTTTTGCACCTCCCCCGCCAGGGATGCAGTCCTGAGATGGTGGGGCATAGGGAGAGGGGTGAGCGTAGAGATGAGTGACCACAGAAACATCTGTGCATTGTCTTGCATTATCAATAGGCCTTGGAAGACACTTCTCTAGATGACACCTTCCCAGTGAGAACGTGAGAGTGGGTTCTCATCTGTCACTAATCATCATAGGGCCACATGTGGTAGCAGAACTCTGCGATGCGGTGGAGTCAAGCGGAGCCTCCACAGTGCTCCATCACTAGCTTGCTGAGTGATCCCGGGAAAACCACGGGGCTCTTCCCACCTCAGTTTCTCTGTTTGTACCATGGTGATGTCTTAATTTATTACAATACGGGGTATTGAACCCCTTAGGATAGTGGGTATGGGGCTAGAGAGGCAACTCAGTGGTTAAAAGCATTTGCTGCTCTTGTAGAGGGCCTGGGTTCATGTCAGGAAGCTCACAACTGCTTGGAACTCCATCCTGGGAATTTGATACTTCTTCTATGCTCTATGGGCACCTGCATCTACTTGGTACATGTACACACACCTCAGCCACACACAATCACATATAGTGACCAAGGACATCTTTAAAAGACACTGTATCTTGAACACACAGCGGAGAACTTGGTACAGGGGAAATTTCAATGACCTGTTGTTATCATAACCATTTCTGTTGATTGATGTGTTGTCAGTATTGGAATTTTTATGCTGACAACATTTTGAGAGACAAGAAAAAAAATATATACATATATAACAATGTGTTCACACCACTTGTGTTATAACAGCTTAAAATCTTCATCATAATACTGTCGGGGTCCAGGGTAGGGTGTGTGGATTAGAAATACTAGACAGGAGAAGCAGAGATACGAAAGAAATAGAGAGACATAGGATAGAACCAGGAGGGCGATCCCGCGAGTACTGAATTTGCCCACGCTTATTTTCTATACGCTTATATACCTCAGTCCAAAAGTGGGGGAAGAAGGCAAAAGGCTGCTGTAACGTGATACAAGGAACACACAGAGCAATTACCAGCTTCGATACCAGAAACATCAAACAACTATATTCTGAGTTAAGCATTCTATTGTTTAAGTCAGGACATGTAGCGACTACCTCTTAGATCAAGCATCCTGTAGGCAGTCACTTCCTGGGTCAAACCTCCTGTCATATCTTTGAAGGAGCAGAAATCAGTTTGAATTCGCTGACCTTAGGTCAAGATGGAATGGATCCACCTCTGTGGGTCCTTTCAATATCCAAAACACCAAATAACCACACCCTAGGTCAAGATATCTTGTTTGTGGCTACACCTTAAGTCAGACCTCTTGTCAATAACCTTGAAAGAGCAAGGGTAGACTTAAACTCTGACCTTCAGTCAAGGCGGAGAAGATCCACTTCTATGGGCCCCTACATGACATAGTCAACATGTCTAGGTAGCTCACCAAATTTTACTTGCCATGACTTTGTAAGGTTGCTTCCATTTTTGAAGAACAGAAGCTTACCACCAGTGAATCCACAGGAGATTGCAGAGAAGGGCTTCAAAAGGCACTTTTTAAAATCAATAATGGAAATTCTGTTGAAACAAATGCACAGACTCCCATGATACTTAAAGGGAACAACAGTGGACTGACTTTATTTCTCAAAGACTAATCACACATGCAAGTTGTTAGCATGTTCTTAGAATGATGAATTTCAAAGACAATGGCATCTTTTTTCTGATTATTTACATAATTATTTTTAAAAGCTTCATCTTTATATGTTCTTGTATGCATATTTGTGAGTATATGACACATGTGTGTAGGTGCCTCAGAGGTCTGAAGAGGGTATTGGATTCTTTGGAGCTAGAATGACAGGTGATTAGAAGGCACTCAACTCGTTCTGGAAACAAAACTTGTGTCTTCTAGTCCTCTGTGAGAACAGAAGGACCTCTGAACTACTGGGCCATATAGACTCCAGTCCCTTGAGTACATAATACCTAAGGACAGATGATGATCTATCATCTATCTATCTATCTATCTATCTATCTATCTATCTATCTATCTATCTATCTATC